AAAAGTCCAAGATTATATGAAGAAAAATAATTTTGCAAAAGAAAAAAAATCATGTCCATAAAAAAAGAGTATTCGTTAAGTGAATTTCATCGTAATCTTCACTATTGTGCAACAAAAGGATATTCGAAGTGCAAACTGGACAATGGCCAAATTACCATGTACATAGCAGTTGAGTGCCATGTACAAGTAGTACATTCATATGCAATGATCTTAGATTACTCTCAATGATCTTAGAAAATCTGTTNAAAAAAAAAAAAAAAAAAAAAAAAAAAAAAAAAAAAAAAAAAAAAAAAAATCATTAAATTTAGTTCTTTTATATCTTTTTTTTTTAAAAAAATAAGCACATCATTTAACATTTAAAAAACATCTTATGTGGCATAACACACATAAAAATGTATAACTTTTTTCTGGAATGGCATTTCTTTACAACATCTCTTGACAATAATGCTGTACACGGAGTTGCTGGACAGAATGCCCGAACCACATGTTCACCTGAAAATCAAAACGTAAAGAGATTTTATCAAAGATTTTTCAAAGATATTCTATGAAATTCTAGTCATTTAAAAATAATTTCTAAGAAATCTCTGGACTATGGTATAAGGTAAACTGAAGACTTATAATGTGTATAGTGCCAGAGCTGATGTCATAAATGTTTTCTACTTATAACAACTACTTTAAATTTAAATATTTTAAATTTAAAGTATATTCTACTTTAAATTTAAATATTTTCTACTACTTTATAATATTTAAATATTTTCTACTTCCATATTCTACTTTAAATTTAAATATTTTAAAATCTCAGACGATAAATATAAAACTGATCCCCTACGAAGAAGAGAAAGATACTTGCAAGATACTAAAAGATACTAAAAAATAAAACTGTCTTTTTTGTGATAACTTATAATCTTTGTCCATCCTCATAGTGAATTTTTAAATAATTTAGGATTCGCTATGTAGTTTCGCTGTATCACTGATTAATATCACTTTTTAATTTTTACTGATTAATTTCTAATTTATCTAATTAATGAAAATTTTATTTCTTAGGTGGTGCAGCAAATGTGCTTCAGAACAGTGAGTTATATTTAATGATTTTAAATGATGTAATGAGCTATTCTAAAATGGAATATTTTGTGTCAGATGAGGTTTCTTCGGGGCACTTTCGCTTTTTTTGAGTTTAGTGGCTTCCAACGATAGAAAAAAATTAAAACAACATTTTCAGAACTTGTCAGTCTAAGGGACCACTGTTTTCACTGTAACGAAGCTTTCGAAAAATATTTATTTGTAAATTATTTTTTAAAATAGATATATTTATAGCATATTTTATTGCTTCAAATAGTTCTGAATTTAATTTAACATTTAAGCATTCACCAGAACATTTTGCTGAAGTTCGTCATACCTTATAGAAATTTCTTTTTCTTGGAAATTATTACATAAAAACTGTGCAAATTCTTTTTTTTGGGGGGGGGGAGTTCATAAAACAGATGTTGATAAAAGATGTATTCTTCATGTGGATTTCATCGATAACGTCAATATTATGCAGCAACATATGATACGAAAGGCACACTGGGCAAATGACCAGATTATTTTTTTTAATGACTGGCACTGAACGTATAGTTCTTCGCTATGGAAGGTGCCAGATGTATTGCTCATTTTACCCTGCCTGGGGAGCACCTTATTGTGACCAATGTCACGGAGTCGAGCAGCATTATCCACGCCACGCTTCCACATATACCCGATCATAGAGTGGACATGTTCACACATCGCACACAACAGAGGACAACACGCGGAGAGAAACATCCATAATCTGAGCTGGATTCAAACCCGTAATCATTCACTTCGCAGTCCAGCACGCTTTCTGCTCTGCCACCTGGCCAGAAAATGACCGAACTACAATATACACAACAGTACAAGAAATATATTCATATGCAATAATCTCTGATTAATAAAATCAGATGACACCGATAATAAAATTTATTCGGCATAATTTTTTTTTTTTTTATGAATTAGCATTTCTTTGCAATGTCTCATGACAGTAATGCTATTTCACAGGATTGCTCGAACCACATGTTCACCAAACAGTAAAATAAAAGTTCAGAAAGTTTTAATTAATGATTTTTCAAACATAATCTCGAATTTTCTATTCATCCAAAAATAATTTATAAGAAAGTTCCGGACAATGGTATTAAGTAAACTAAGTACTCATGATGTTATCTACAAAAAAATGAACTCATTCCTTATTTTAATTCAAGTTTAAAATCTTTTAAAATAGCAGACAATAAATATAAAAACTAACCCACGACGAGAAAGAAAAAGTTACTTGCAAGTAATAAAACACCAAACACTTTTGTGAGAACTTATAAACTTATAATATTTGTCCTTCCTAATGGTGGATTTTTAAATAATTTAAGATTCACTATGTAGTTTTGCTGTATCACTGATTAATATCTTTTAATATTAGATTATCTTATTAATGAAAATTTCATTTTTCAGCTGGTTTATCACAAATGCTTGAAGACAGTGAGTAATATTTATTATTAATTAAATGATGTAAGAAGCTTATCTAAATAATTTCGTGGCAGATGAGGCATCTTCATTTTTTCTAGTTTATAGACTTCCAGCGATTGAAAAAATAAAAACATCTTTTTAAGAACTTCTTGTCAGTCTAAGGGACCGCTAGACCAAATAGGTTTCGAATCAGCTGTTATTTCTGTGATAACTTATGCTTGTTGATCAACGAAAACTACTATTGTATGGTGTTTATTTTTCTGTCTGCCAGGCACTTCAAATCCCATCTGAAGTACATATTTGCGATCTTATTATCAATCAGCTAAATTAGCTTATTCAGCTGAATTAGTTTCCCCTATCTAAACTGGCTAAATTAGCTTCGAAAATACTTTTTGCACAGTGAAAGTATTTTATTTCAAATTAGAAACCTTTATGACTTTTATTTTATTTTAAATAGTGCACTCTGATTGCAGATTTAAAGAAAATGATTAGATATGTGTTAATCAATATTGAGCTCATTAATTATAATAATGAAGGCAAACTGGTTTGAACAATGCTTATTCGGAAAACACAATCGAAGTTAAAGAGGTACTAATGTATGAATTATCCTGAGCTAATGATGACACACGTAAATTAAGAAAAAATTAAAAAAAAACTAATACATTATATTTTATTATGTTGTTATTCTATTGTTTCAGCAAACTTTACTCTTAAAGGAATTTACTCTTACAATTTGTAAAGGTCAAAAATTGGGCAATAGTTACATTCTAATTTGATCTTTGATTTGAATTGTACAAAAAAAGTTTCACACTTTCAAATGAAACTTCTAATAATTTACATGATGTTGGTTCGAGAATTAAGTTTTGTATTATAATAATGTAATTAATAAAAATCGAAACCATTGTACTATCTGAATTATTAATTTTTACAAACTTAATATTAGTAATGAAAATAATAATGATTAAATATAACAACTATTTTATTATTAATAACTGTAAAAAATTATTTTTATTTAATTTTCTTTAGTTTTCCTCTAAAAAATTGGAAAAAAATAAGCATTTTTAAACTTCCTATCTGTATTCGATATCAAGGTTTGTGATTTTCTTGAATAATATTTTAGTCGTTTTAAAGACGATTAATTAGATATCCCAAAGTTACGCCACCCCAGTTCAAGACTTTGTGGAAAAGAATTAATTTTCAAACATTTTACCATGTCATTTAGAACAACGTTTTACTTACCACATTAAAAAAAATTTTTAAACATTAAATTTTAAAATATTCCATACTCTAGGATGAATTTTAAACTGTGTAGCCAAAGGGTTAAAAAGTAACTTCAATTTACCATATAGGAAATACTTGAAATACTTAAGATTTTCTTTGAAATTACTGTTGTTATTTAGATTTAATTTATAGTGAAATATTTTATTTTCAGATGGTTTAGGAGAAGCTTTAAACAGAGGTGAGTAAAATTCATTGTTCTTAAATAATGTGATGAAAAATTTAAATTTTTTTTCTTGAACTCAAAAAACAAAATTCTCGTATTCTAAAAAATATTTTTTTGCTATATTTCATACTCTAAAATTGTATAGTGCCTCATATAGTATATTAAAAAAATAGTTTGTTTTTATTTATTTATTTGCTTTGATGAACTGAGTAAATTCGTTAGATTTTATGCCATCATTAAATTACAAACACTGTAAAGAAATTTTAGCTAAAATGGTATATTAAGCATCCCATGGTACACCAAAATTATTTCTTAAAGAATTAACATTTCGTTCGTATTTTTTAGATAAATTTTAACGTATTTAAAAAAAATTTAAGAAAATACGATTTGTGAAATACTTGGTTTAATGTTAATAATTTGAATTATTTAATTATTAAATGCTTCTTCATTTAGTGAGTGAGATGGTTAACAATGGTAAGTAGTTTTTAATATTTGAAAGATTTTGACACTTTTATTCGCCGTCTACGTTTATGTTACAACACAACTTGGAATTTCAGACAATGGCGCCATTCAATTTAAATATCTATAGTTAACTGAAATTAATGTCTCAACTTAATTAAACTTCAAAATCATTTTTACGTCCATTATAAATCAAGAATTTGAATTTTAAAGAAAGTCAATACTGCAAATAGCAGTAATAGATGAATATATTTTACAGATACCACATAATAATATTCTTGTTATTACGTTCTTTTTAACTATATCAGAATTCAATTTCATTTCATTTCGAAATATGCAGTTGAATTTTAAGCAAAGTTTAAGACCAATTAGATTTAAAAAGTTATCTACTCTAAAATTTTTATTGAACTACCCAATTTTCACTGTAAAAGAAATGTAAGAAAAATACTTATTTATAAATTCTTTTTAAAAAATGATATATTTATCGCACATATTATTGCTTCAATTAGTTCTAAATTTAATGTAAAATTTAAACTTTTACTCAATTTAAACATTCACTTGATAAACGACGTATTCCTCATGTAAATTTCATCGATAACGTCGCCATTATGCAGCGAGATGAGATATGAAAGGCACACTGAGCAAATGACCAATGTGTCTTTAGTATCTCATCTTAGTGACCTGGGCAAATAATATTTTTTTTTAACGGCAGGAACTGAACTTATCGTTCTTAGCTATGGAAGGTGCCGGAAGTATCGTTTATTTTACGTTGCTAGGGAGCACCTTTAGACCAATGTCACAGAGGCGAACCCACGCCACACTGACACAGATACCCGTTTATAGTATGGTCCACATTCACACATCACACACAACAGAGGACAACGCACAGAGGGAAACATCCATGCCCCGATCGAGATTCAAACCCGCTACAATCGACTTCGCAGTTAGGCACGCTAACCTCTCGGCCACCTGGGCGGCAAATGACCGAACTACCATATACACAGCAGTACAAGGAATATATTCATATGCAAAGATCTCAGATAAATAAAATCAGATGACTCCAGTAACAAAATTGCTGCAAGCATAATTATTGACAATTATTCTAATACTTCTTGAATATTTGAATATTTTTTGAATATTTGAATATTTCTTGAGTCTCCTTATGTAGAGATCTTGCATGGCGGTGCAGCATATAATTTAAAAAATAAACTTTTTCCTCGGCTTAACAAAACAAACAAAAATATGAAAACTTGTATCCGAATAGGCACTTCTTTGCAACTTCTCATGACAATAATGCAATAAATGGAATTGTTAGATTGAATTCTCGAACCACATATTCAGCAAAAAGTCAACTCTTGAGAAGTTTTTACTAATGATTTTTCAAAGATATTCTTGGATTTTCTAATCATCCAAACATAATTTCTGGGAAAGTTCTGGACAACGAGGGTTGCTATTTATATTTCTGGCCTAATAATGAAAAAACAAATATGTAGGATCGAAATTGGTTTTATTGCTTTTCAAAATATTCTCCATGATGATCAATACACTTTTGCATGCGTTTGAACCAATTTTCAAAGCACTTTTTCCAGTCCGATTGAGGTAACTCCAAAACATGCGTTTTGAATGCATCAACCGCTTCTTCGGGGGTCGAAAATCGTTGTCCACGTAATTTATTTTTGATGTGTGGGAATAAGAAGAAGTCATTGGGTGCCAAATCAGGGCTGTACGGCGGATGACCCATCAGTTCGATCTTTCGCTCCGTCAGAAATGCCTTTGTTTGAGTCGATGTGTGAGAGCTCGCATTGTCATGATGAAGAATGATTCGCCTGTTCTTCTGCTTTTTTCGAATTTCTCCGATGACTTCTGGCAAACAAATGGTCGTGTACCATTCAGAATTGACCGTCCTGCGTTGCTCTAACGCCACTGTTGCCACATGACCGTTAATGCCGAAGAAACAGGCAATCATTTGTTTCGATGTGCTTCTTCCTCGAACAACTTTTGTTGGTTTTGCCTCGTCTTGGAAGACCCATACAGTTGATTGCTGTTTTGTTTCCGGCTCATATGCATAGATCCATGATTCGTCACCTGTGTAGATGTTATACACAGCCTTTGATGTACCTTGAACGTATTTTTCCAACATTTCCTTGCACCAATCGACACGAGCCTTTTTTTGAGCGTTTGTCAGATTATGCGGGATCCAACGCGAACAAATTTTTTTTACGCTCAAATGTTCATGCAATATTTTATTGATGCTAGTCATACTAATGTCCAAAGACGCCTCTATCTCACGGTATGTCACATGACGATCTTGCTTTATCAGTTCACGCACAGCATCGATCTTTTCTGGCACAACAACGGATTTTGGACGACCTGCACGGGATTCGTCCTGGATCGAACATCGACCACGATTAAATTCGTTATACCAATTTTTTACAGTGCTGTAGGATGGCGCTTTATCGCTGAATAAAGAATTAAGTTCATCGAAGCACTCTTGTCTTGACAATCCACGTCGAAAGTTATGAAAAATAATGGCACGAAAATGTTCACGATTCAATTCCATTTTTTGAAAGAGAAGAACTTTTCAATTTACTGTCAACAACACAAATGAAGCTATAATGGTAAATCGTCTGCTGAATTTATGTTTGGAAATATCAAACTTTCGATTAAAATCGTCTGCGGTCGCCTAGCAACACTTACTGTTGCCAAGGCCAGAAATATAAATAGCAACCCTCGTATGGTATTAGATAAACTGATTACTCATGATGTGTATAGGGCCAGAACTGGAGATATAAATGTTATCTACTTCAGGAAACGAACTCCTTCCATATTCTAATTTAAAATTAAAAAATATTAAAATCTCAGACACTAAATATAAAACTAATCCCCGACGAGGAAGAAAAAAGATAATTTCAAATAATAAAACTGTCACTTCTGTGATAACTTATTATCTTTGTCCTTCCTTATAGTGAATTTTTGAATAATAAAGGATTTGCCATGTAGTTTTGATGTATCACTGATTAATATATATTGATATTAATTTATTTTGTAAATAAAAATTTTATTTTTTTAGATGGTTTAGCACAAGCGCTTGATAGCTGTGAGTGATATTTATTATTAGTTAAATAACGCATGGAGCTAATCTAAAATGGAATAATTTTGTGACAGATAAAGCTATTTTTGGGGCTCCAGCGTTTTCTTGAGTTTATTAGTTTCCAATGATAGAAAAAATAAACAAAACATTTTTTGAGAACTTCTTGTCTATCTAATTGACAGTAATAGGTTGTGAATCTGTCTTAATTTCTGCGATAACTTACACTTGTTGTTCTGCAAAGATTGCTATTGCGGGAATTTTTTTCTTCCCTGCTATGCACTTTAAATCCCATCTAAAGTACATGATTACGGTTTTATTATCGATGAGCTTACGGTTTACCGTAAGCTTATGACTAAAACCGTAATAAAATTTTATTACGGTTTTATTATCGATAAGCTATTAACGATAAGAATTATACAATAAATCTTTCAGATTCATTGAATAACTAAAGAAATTCATTCCCAATTAGGATTCCAAATTCATGGTCTTTAATTTTTATTGGATATGGCAATCCGAGTGCAAATTTAGTGACAATTTTCGGATATGTAATCATCAATAATGATGGTAGTAGTCCATGGCAAAATGTTGTGAATAGTGACAGGCACAATACCAGTGGAAAATATGCAAATATGAGCATTATTTTTATATATTTTAATGAATTATATATTTTAATGAATATTATATATTTTATGTATGTATTATATATTTTAATGAATTTAGGTATCTTAAAGTTACGCTTTTCTAATTGATGACTTTGGGACAAAAAACATTTTGTTTTTTGAATTTTCCATGAATTTTTGGAATTACGTTTTATTTCCCACATTAAATTGGTTTGGAAAATATAAATTGTAAAATATTCAAAATTCTATGTTGAATTGAACCTCCATGCTTTGAATTTTAAATTGTGTATCCAAAGGAAGATAACTTCAAAAGATCTCCGAAGTAACTCCACTTTACGATATATGAAATTTTTGAAATAGTTAAAACTTAATTTAAAATACTATCAAATCCATGATTTGCATAAATTACTGTTGTTATTCAGATTTAATTTATGTTGAAATATTTTATTTTTAGTTGGTTTAGGAGGCGTGGCGACCAGTGGTAAGTGAATTTCATTGCTTGTAAATGATATGATGAACCGTGTAAAAAATTTTCTTAAACTAAAAAATAAACTCTATTTTCTAAAACGGATCTTTATGCTGTATTTCATACTCTAAAATCAAATAATCTCATACAGTATATTAAAAAAATAGTTTCTTTTTATTCATTTCTTTTCATTCATTTTTTCGATAAACTTAGCAAATTTGTTAGCTTTTATGTCATGAATAAGTTCCACACCCTTGGATGAAATTATAATTAAAATGGCCTTTTAAGAATAGCGTAAAATTAAAATTAATACTTAACGAATAAACATCTAGTTTAATAATTTTTTTATATACATCTTAGATTGGAGTTAATTCTAAAGTTCAGAAATTCTAGAGAAGAAATTTCAAACAAGTTCACAAATTCTATACAGAAATTCTAACAGGATAAACTTAAAGTTTAAAATTTTAGCATATTTAAGGAAAATGTCAGAATTTTTTTTTCAAAAATACGATAGTTGAATACGTGAATTATTTAATCATTATATTTTTCCTCATTTAGTGAACGACGCGATTAATAATAGTAAGAAGTATTTTAATATTTATAAACTTTGGGGACTTTTATTTCCATTCTGCATCTGAGTTACAGCGAAACTCATAATTTTAGACCAAGACTGAAATATCTATAGTTATGATAGTAGAAAAAAATATACTAAAGACAATAGAGTCCATAAGTGTAGTTCTAATTCAATGTTAGCAACCAAAGTCAAGGCAGTAAAAAAATTGTAAACGTGTTCAAATGATCAAAATGATAATTTAAGATGACCTTATGTCATCAAACAATGTACATGTAGGGATATGATCAATACGTAATTGATTCGCTAGTGGACAATTCCTAAAAAAATAAAGCAAAATGTTGAAATTTCAGACTGTAACAAACTTGACATATTTTAAATCACTTTAATGTATGAAGTGTATATTAGAGTGCAGTGCAACTTAATTTTTATTAGTATTTAATTAATAATTAGTTAAATCATAATAATATTTACTAATAGAGTACTAATAGAAAATAACTAATAGAAACTAATTTATAAACTAACTGCTGAATATTGACTACGGAAGCAAACTATTTAATAGAAACTAACCTCGGAATATTTATAGAAGAAACTGTAAACCTGAAGGCAAGAGAACTCTAACCCTAGATCTGTCCACCACTGAGGAAAGTTTACGTCATCCCTGTGGTCAGTGCAAACTGGGTGTGAAATTCGAATCGACCAGTCATTGTTGGAATTCGACCTTGGTTCACCTAATTGGAAGGCGAACGCTATCCTCTGAGCCATCACTGCTTTGTTTAGTATGGAAACATTATGACAATTATGAGAAGAAAATCTATTTTTTTTTAAATTAAAATTTTTGTATATGTAGAATCCTAAATTACCAAGTTTTTGCCACTTCCTTAAGAAAAAACAGCAAAAAGTCATATTTTCCCTGAACAAAGCAGTATTTTTTTTTTTAAATATTTTTTTTTTGTTTTTTTTTACCATTGGAGTATTAAGTATATATTTTTTTTATATGTCCTCACGGTTGACCCTCGTTATACAGACATCAGTAGGGTAAATTGGTTCCCCACATTTTCAGGAGCACCATATTAGCGTGGTGTCCCTGAAAGTACTCCCACGCTAAGGACAGACAGAGAATGAAGAAACATCCATGCCTCATCCGGGATTCGAACCTAGGACCTTTCAGATGTGAAGTCAGCTCTCTGATTCCTAAACAGTCAGTCGGTGCATTAAGTATATATTTAATTATATGAACATGGTATTAAGTTAAATGCCTCGGACAATTTTTTTTCAAGTGAAAATGGTTTTTCTTAAAAAATAATATTACATACGTATTTATGATATGGATGTAGCATATGTTTCATTTTTAAGTTCGTAATAAGCCGATAATTCAAAAAGAAGTCAATGCTGAAAATTACCCTAATAGATATGAATACGTTTTAGAGATACCAAATAATAATTTTCTTATTATTATTACTTTCTCTTTAATTATTAAAAAATATTGTTGAATCCTCTATTGCCTGAATCCTGTTATGAATTCATAAACGTGAACAACTTTGCAGAATAACCATTAATACGATCAACCATTTCATTCCCGGATTTTAAATTTTAATCCTTACGTTATTTTGAAATGAAATGAGTAAAATTACAGGCAAACTAATCCATGTTCTTGAAATGAATCTATAACAAGAATCGCTTTAATGTGGAAATTACTTTTCATTTGCATTAAAAATGTTTTAATTTTTTTAGGTCAATTGGATCAACTTATAAGACCAGGTGAGCACATTTGTATCATTCAGTTATTAAATTATAATTCTTGATAAAAACAATGTAATGCAATATAGTATAATATAATATAATATAATATAATATAATATAATATAATATAATATAATGTAATGTAATGTAATGTAACGTAACGTAACGTAATATTACATTACATTACATTACATA